AGAATTACAATTGGCTTTCATGTATTGACTTTCCATGCTACAACCCTTGATAACCTTTATTTATTAGTCCTACTAGCTTTTTGGTAGACTCCTTAAGATTTCTCATGCTTGTGATAATGTCTGCAAGTAAAGACTTTTACTTTGTCTTTTCCAATCCCTATGCCTTTATTTCTTCACCTATTACATTGCTAGACCTCCTGAACAATATTCATTAAAAGTGGTGAAAGTATGTTTTCATTGTTCCTAATCTCAGGAAAGAAGCATTCCATATTACCATTCTGTTACCTTTAAATTTATCATAGGTTCCTTTTATCAGGCTGAAGAAGTTTCATTTTACTACTAGTTGCTAAAAGCAATTATGAATTGCTGTTGAATTTTGTCAGGTGCTTTTTCTACACCTACTGAAATGATCATATGGTTTTAGTTTTTTGATATGTCATTATGGTACACTGGTTTTTCAAATCAAAAACCAACATGGCATTTCTGTGATAAACCCCACTTAATCATACTACATTATCTTTTTTATATATAACATACTATCTCTTTATATATTACAGAATTTTGTTTTTTGATATTTAAGGAGATATTTTCATGTATGTTCGTAAGGCATATTAGTCTGTAGCTTTCTTTCCTGTGATGTCTTGGTCTAGTTTTGTCATCAGGGTAATATAAAATGAGTTCCAAAGTATTACACTCCACCCTTTCTTTTTTCTGAAGGTGGACTTGTAAGACTGGTGTAATTTTTTCCTTAAATGGTCTATATTTTTTTAAGTCTTTGTCCAGCTTAGGTATCAGAATAATAACAGATGAATAAAGTGACTTGGGAATTGTTTCCTTTTATTTTTTCTTTCTGAGTTTGTTTAGGATTAGTATTTCTTCCTTGAATGTTTGATTGAATTTACTAGTAACATTCTCTCTGCCTGAAGTTTTTGTGTGCAGAGGAAGTAATTCAATTATGAATTTAATTCTGGTTTCCTATTTCTTTTGTCATATTTGATCATCTGTAACCACCAAGGAATATGTCCTTTTCTTACAGCTGTGAAATTTCTTGGCATAAAGTTGTTCATAATATTTATTTTGATGCTTTCAGTGTTTGTAAGATCTTTAGTGAAATCTTCTATTCCACTTCCAGTGTTGAGAATTTGTGGCTTTTTATTTTTTCCCTTTATCAGTCTGCAAAAAAAACTAATCAGTTTTATTGATCTTTTCATAAAACCAGCTTTTGGTATTACTGATTTTCTCTCTTTTTGGGGGGAGTTGTGGGGAGTCCAGTTTTTCTTTAATTGATTTTCCTTTTTATTATTTCTTTTCATTTACTTTGTTTAAATTTGATATGAGTTTATCTGTCTAGCTTTCTAAAATGAAACAGCTCATTGATTTGACCAATCTTGTTTTCTAATTAAGCATTTAAACCTATAAACTTTCTTCTAAGGTCTGCTCCACCTATTCCCAAAACCTTTTCACATGTTGTATTTCTATAATCATTTAGTTCAAAATATCTTCTAATTTTCTCTTTCATTTATTTTTGATCCACAGAAATGTGTGTTTTGGTTTTTCAGATATACAGAGGTTTTCCAGATATCTTACTGTTATTAAATTCTAATTGAATTCCCTTGTAATTTGAGAACATATTCTGTAATATTATAATGTTTTGAAATATATTTGGACTTGTTTTTTGGGTTAGTATATGGTTTATCTTGGTGCAAATTCTATGTGCAGTAAAAGAAGAATGTATATTCTGGACCTGTGTGATATAATCAGATAAACGAGATTCATGAGATTGTCTAGATTTTCTGTTTCCTTAATGATTTTTCCTTTCAGTTCTGCCACTTACTAAAAAATATATGATTAATCTCCAAGTATAATTTATCTCTTCCTAATTGTGTCTCAATTTTCCCTTAAACAATTGTATTTTTAAAGAAATTCAAAGAAAAATATTAATTTATACACACACATACATCTGTATAAATACATGAATACATGATCACAGTTATATAATTTCCTGCATATTTATCATTATGTGTATCCTTAATTCCTTCCTATAAATACAAGTTACCATACTATGTCATCTTCCTTTACTTTTAAGTGTCCTGTTACACAACTCTGCTGTCCATGAGTTTTCCATTTTTTATCTGAAAATATTTCACCTCAATTTTTAAATACATTGTGGGCATTATAATTTTTGTTCAGCTGGGTTTTTTTTCCAACTCTTTGAATATATACTTGTCATGTCTCTTGGCCTTCATTGTTTCTAATGAGAAATCTACTGTGCCCCTGAATGTCACGTGTTATTTTCTCCTAGGGCTTCTAAGATTTACTCTTCATCTTTGGGATTCATAATTTACCTGTGATTTGCTTGGATTTGGTCTTCTTCACATTTATCCCAATAGAGGTTCTCAGTGCTTCTTGAATCTGTAACTGAATATTTTCATCAAATTTGGAAGTTTTGGGCCATCACTTCTTTAAATATTGTTTCTGCTTCTTTCTGTCTCTCAATGTCTAGGACTCCAGTTAAACACTTGTTGGACTTCTCTGTTTCGTTCCACATGTCTCTGAGGCTCTGTTCAGTTTTCTTAATTTTTTTTCTCTCTGTTCTTCAGATTACATAATTTCTGTTGATTTGCCTTCAGGATTCCTGACTCTCTTTTTTCGTATCTCAATCTCCAATCTACCTGTGAGATCACTTAAGGAGTCATGATTTTTAATCTCTAGATTTTTCCATCTGGTCTATATATTTTCCATTTCTCTGTTGGTATTCTTTTTCTGTTCATTTAATGATACCATATTTTCTTTTAATAATTTTAATAAATATTCTGTAATCTTTTGAACATATTTATAATAGGTACCTTGAAGTCCTTTTCTATTACATTCAACTTTTGAGCCCATTTGGAGTCAGTTTCTACACGTTGTGTTTTCATTATAGGGGTCATATTTGGTAATTTTTGGTTAAAATCTATACATTGTAAATAATTCATTGTAATGTTTCTGAATTTCATTATGTTTTTCTGAGGATTTTTTTTGTATTAATAGACAGCTAACTTGTACAGTTTTAAATTATTAATTCTCACATCAGTACACTATGCAGCAGATAATATCTGTGTTCAATTTTCCTAACTTTCAAGTGTTGCTTTTTTACCTTAGTTGCATAGGGTTGTCCCCTGCAATTACAAAGTTTAGTAGAGAGCCAAATATTTGTACAAAACTTATAATCAGATTTGGGGGCTCACACTTTCTGTGGTTCTCAATCCTGAGTTTTGTCCTCTGATACTTCAAGTCAACAAAACTTCAGCTTTCTATAGTACAAGACTCTGATCTTAGAAGTGGGAAATGTATACCTTCTAAGGAGCAGCAAATTTGTGAATCTCACATAATTCAGTTATGCCTTTCAACTTTACCCTCTTTTCTTTCATGCTTGCTGTCTATTTCTCCCACTAATGCATAGCCTAATGGTCTACCAGGGATTTAGGCACAGTTGATAAACCTTTGGAAGCTTGCTTACTACCAGGAATTTTCCCCTAAACTTTTCAAGTGTTTTGACACTGAACTCTGTATTCTGCCACCTCAAACTGGAAAGGATATGATTCAATGCTGCCAGAGCTAGAGGAGGCTAGGAACCCTCTCAGGCAAAAAAACCACAAACTTGAAATTGTTACATGTCATGACCACTGTCTTTAAAAAGGGAACTGTTGTGGTTGCTGTCTACTGTTTGTTGCTTTCTAGTGCCTTCAAATAGTTATATTTCAATGATATTATATCCAGGGTTTATAATTATAGCTGCAAGAGGTTTTTCACAGTGCTAATGTTACCACACGTTCAAACTTTCTTAAGAATATTTTTTTTTGGTATCATTAATATACAATCACATGAGCAACATTGTGGTTACTGGATTCCCCCCATTAGTCCCCACCACATACCCCATTATAGTCACTGTCCATCAGCATAGTAAGATGCTATAGAGTCACTACTTGTTTTCTCTTTGCTATACTGCCTTCCCCGTGGCCCACCCCCCATGTTATGTGTGCTAATCATAATGCCCCTTATTCCATTTCTCCCTCCCTTCCCACCCACACTCCCAGTCCCTTTCCCTTTGGCAACTGTAAGTTCTTAGGAATATTTTTTAAATAATCTAATTTTTACAAATACTATCAATTCCTGGCCTATTATAGCAATTCAATTAGTATTTGTTGAATAAGTTAGTAATAGCTACTTTCTTTTTAGTAATACAATAAGTTTACCTTTGTCTCTTGTCTGTGTTGTATTCAAATTATTAAAGGAAATAAGGCTGATATGAAAGTGTAGGCATGTAGTTATCAGTAATATTAAGAGAGTAAAGATATACTTAAGTTGTCATTATGTTATGCCACAAATTTTCAAAAATATATTTTTTCTAAGAAATGTGGTTCACTGTTTTTTCATTAAAATTGAGGAAAAAAGAAGATAAGGGAATAATAAAAAGGAAAAGGGTTATTACTAGGAAAACATTTAGTACATATTTAGGAACTCTTTCAAATTTAAATCTTTAATTTAAAATTACTATTGGATTTAAAACCTAAAACCAGAATGTAGGAATAATACTGTTTTTACAAATTTTATACATATTAATCATCAGGTTGCATAACCAAGTGTTTCATTATTGTGGCATAGGAATGTGAGTTTACAAATTCGCTGGTAGGTAATCATAGCCATTTTAGAGGTACCCAAAAAAAACCTTAGTTCAAAAAAAATCTCTGATTTCTCTGATAAAATCATACATAAACTTCTAAGTTTTGTGCCTATCAGAGGTGGTATAGTAGGTAAAGAATGATTTTGAAATCAGACACTCTACTTAAAGTACCTACTTCCCATTGACTATCTCAGTAAGTCTCTTAACCTATCTATATCTTAGGAAGGCATAATTATAGCCCCACCTCATATTCGTGTCTTAAGGAGAAAAATTATAAAAATATCTGAGTGTGCTTGGTATATCAGGATTCTGACTATAATTATTTCTTTTTCAACAGAAGAGGATAAATATAATATTTATTCTCCTTTGCTCTTCAAGTACTTCCTGGCAGAAGGAATTATCAGTGGGCATAATTTGTTGATTGCATCAGCAAACGAAGACCCTACTGACATTGTACAGGTAAAGAATATACTAATTTGATGTTGTATTTTGAACATTTTGTGAAAAAAATTGGTTTTTTATATATATATATAAATGTGTGTATATATACACACAAACAATATCACACAAACTATATTTAAATGCATTAATGGGAACATATGTATTTTTCTCATAAAAGTATCAAATTCATTTAAACATGTAGTTAAATTTTAAATCAGTGTTCTTGGACAATTTTTCAACTTAAAATTTTTATCCGAGGTGAAGAAAGTTTTTGTGTGTAAGGTTTTTAATTGACAATAAATAAAATTATTAATATACTCATGATAATGAGAATCCTAAAAAGTTAGGCAAAGAAAAACAACTGTAGAATATTATCAGATATTATATTACCAGTGTGCCCCAAAGGTATAAATCAGAAGAAAGATACAGAAGTTAGAAGTACTCATTTATTAATATTATTTTGCTTTAAGAATTCCAGAAATTCTAAGAAATAAGCAGTAGTAATAAAATATGTGATTGATATGGTATATCTTCTTTAAGACAGAGCACCCTTTTCACCTTACAGAGAATAATTCCAAATTTTAATTTCATTGTCTAGAACAGGATCCCAATTTAAGCCATTATCTGAATAGAATTCATAATCTAAAGTAATTTTCCCCCATAGGATGTTTGCATTTCAGTGCAGAGTCTACAAAATAGCAAATGACTAAGCTATTTACAAAGAATTTGTAGCATAACAAATACTAATTTATGGCAACTATAACAGACACCAATAAACTTCTACACCCATATATAAAAGCCACTATAATATTTAGGTCAAAATTAACATGATTATTTCATATGGGTCAGACTTTGCTTATTAAGTAATACTCATAAAATTGAAAAGATAAACCTTTCTATAATTTTCCAAGTAATATTCTTCCAAAAACAAAACAAAAAGCACAAGTTGAGCCCAAAACTTCCCTAGCTTACTGCATGCAAACTTCCAGGCCATCAGGCAGAAGGAAGTAACCTAGGTTAAGACAACCTTAGGAGACAAATCTTGAAGTGCAGAATTATGACCTTATTATTGTCATCCTCTAGAGCTGAAATATGGTTTAAGGAGATACCTATGGGTGTCAAGTTGACAAGGGTAGACTTCTGATGATTAATTTTATATGTCAACTTGAGTGGGCCACAGGGTGCCTAGATATTTGATCAAACATTATTCTGAGCACTCCTGTGAGGGTGTTTTTGAGTGAGATTCATACTTAAACTGGTAGACTGAGTAAAGCGGATTGCACTACTAACATGGTTGGGCCTCACCCAGCCATTTGAAGGCCCAACTAGAAGAGAAGGGCTAGCCTGAAAGAATTCCTCTTGCCTGATCTCCTTCAAACTTGGACACCAGCTTTTTCCTGCCTTTGGATTCAAATGGAAATATCAGCTTTTCCTGAGTCTTGAGCCTGCTAGTATTTGGTTTGAAACTACCCATCAGTTCCCCTGGTTCTAAAGCCTTCAGATTCAGCTAGGCACTGTACATCAAAATTCCTGAGTCTCCAGCTTGCCAACTCACTGCTGATCACATGACTTGTCATACTCCAAAGCAGTGTGAGCCTATTCCTTATAATAAATCTCAATTTTAGTATGTGTTTGCATGTGCACAAACACACATACACACTTCCTATTAGTACTGTTTCTCTGGAGAACTCTGACTAATACAATCTTAATGAAAATATAAAGGTTGCATTTAAAACCAACAGGCATTTCTTATTTAATTATTAATCTCTGTTGAATGATCATCACCTCATTATCCTATATCTTGGCAGTTTTACAGATAAAGTACAGTGATTCACCTTTTTGCTTTTATACTCCTAAAAATGTTTTTAATCACATATCTATTTGTACACTAAGTTACCTAAAAAATGTTAGTTGTGAGATTATTTAGTTGTAAAGGATGTCGCTGCAAACTGCCTTTATAAAGACATCAATTTTCTAAGTGTATACAACTGAATCTAAATAATAGTACACATTGATGTCAGTATCATTGTTTTTAGAAGCATATACATAAACAAACTCTTCTTTAATATCTGGAAATTTTACATCAGTCTTTTTGTCCTTGAATTTATATTTTCTATTCTACTCTTCACAGAGTGTTGTCCAAATGTAATATCTTTTAGGTTCAAAATATTTATTAATAATGTTACTATAGTTTTTCTGCAACAGAACTTTATTTTTAAATTTGAAATTTATTTTATACTTCTTGTCTTAAAAGACTAAGTGTTAAACAGGTTTCTTCTCAATTCAGTCATCAGTACAATTCTTGTTGCATGCAGTGTATCAAGAGACATAATTTTCACACTACTTTGTTTCATTGAGACTAATCGGTGGATATACAGTACTAGAATGGGACAGGATTCAGCATCAATTCTATTTGAATTTTTCATTTTTGCACATGTAAACTTAAAAATTAAGTAGAAGAGGATAGAATTTTATTACAATGTCTCTTATTTTTTTTGTTGTTTTACTTTTCCACACACACAAAATCATACAGTATCTATAATCATAACCTATTTTAAATAATTTGTCTGCTATGTTAGGTCCACCTAAAAATTTACTTAAAACATTGAAAAAATGATTATTTTCTCCGATAATTAGAGCATTCACATTTTTCTGAAAAAATGTATTTTGAACTTTTTGTTTGGTGTGATGGAGGCTTTTACACCTGGGGCAATGAGAAGTAAACCTTTCATTTGTTAAGTGAGAAAAAGGTGATTAAAAGGGGGAATGGGAGAAGGAAACCTGCACTTCGATTATTGGCACATCCCCTAGGGGGTCAGTTTTCACAGAGTATTTGTGAAAGTTGATCATGTACCTCTTTAAAAGTCTTCATATACCTCAGATTTAAAGACTCCTGGTTTTTGATAAATAAAAATAGTGGAAACAAGTCATCTTACTTGATCCATATCAGCTTTTCTAAGTTTTGAATATCATATGCTTAATATAATTAACCCCAAATGCTGATATAGCCCAATGAAACTGATTTTAGTAATCTCTAAAGTACATCAATCTCTTCTAGCTAGTACAATGCTAATTCTCATATATTTCATGTCTATTTGAGGGAAAAATATATTATTTTTGAATTTCAAAGATATAGGTGTAACATTAAGTTAATACTGCTCCTTAACTCTTCTACCTAATATAATGCTAATTCTCATATATTTCATATCTATTTGGGAAAATAATATATTACTTTAGAATTTCAAAGATATAGGTACAACATTAAGTTAATACTTCTTTAAAAATATAAATGAAAGTTATCTCAAGCAGAAAACAAAGGTAAATCAGCATATATGGGACTTAGAATTTCTTTTATGAAAAGTATACCTCTGAAATGTCACATAGGCATACCTCAGAGAGATATTATAGGTTAGGTTCCAAACCATCAAAAAAAAGCAAATAGTACAATAAAGTGAATCAAATTAATTTTTTCATATTTCAGTGAATGTAAAAGTTATGTTTACACTGTATCATATTCTGTTAAGTGTGCAGTAGCACTATATCTAAAAAATTGTTAATTTTAAATTTTACTAAAAAATACTAACCATCATCTGAGCTTTCAGACACCCATAATCTTTCTGATGGTGGAGGGCTTTGCCTCCACATTGATGGCTGCTGACTGATCATAGTGGTGGTTGCTAAAAGTTCAGGAGGCTGTGCCTGTGTCTTAAAATAAGACAACAATGATGTTTGCCCCATCAATTCACTCTTTCTTTCACAAAAATTTATTTGTAGCGTGCATTGCTATTTGATGGCATTTTACCCACTGTTGAAATTCTTTCAAAAGTGAAGTCAATCCTCTCAAACCCTGCTGCTGCTTTATCAACTAAGTTTATGTAATATTCTAAATCCTTTGTTGTCATTTCAACAATCTTTACAACATCTTCACCAGGAGTAGGTTCCATCTCAAGAAACTGTTTTCTTTGCTCATCCATAAGAAGCTTCTAATTTTGTCATGAGATTGCAGCAATTCAGTCAGATCTTCAGGCTCCACTTCTAGTTGTAGTTCTCTTGTTATTCCTGCCACACCTGCAGTTACTTCTTCCACTGAACTCTTGAACCCCTTGAACTTCTTCCAAACTCCTGTTAATGTTGAAATTTAACCTCTTCCCATGAATCAGGAATGCTCTTAATGGGATCTGTAATGGTGAATCCTTTCCAGACAGTTTTCTATTGCTTTTCCCAAAACCACCACAGGAATCATTTTCTATGATAGTTATTGACTTTCAAAATGTATTTCTTAAATAATAAGACTTGGAATTCGAAATCACCCCTTGATCTATGGGCTGCATAATGGATGTTGTGTTAGCAGGCATGAAAACATTAATCTCATTGTCCATCTCCATCAGAGCCCTTGGGTGACCAGGTGCATTGTCAGTGAACAGTAATATTTTAAAAAGAATCTCTTTTTTTTTGAGTACTAGATCTCAACAAGGGACTTAAAATATTCAGTAGACCATGTTGTAACAGAGGTGCTGTCATCCAGGCTTTTTTACTCCCCACTTATACAACACAGGCAGAGTAGATTTAGCATAATTCTTAAGGGCCTTAAGATTTTCAGAGTAGTAGACAAGCATGAGCTTCATCTTAATGTCACCAGCTGCATGAGCCCCTAACAAGGGAGTCAGCCTATCCTTGGAAGCACTGAAACCAGGCATTGACTTCTCTCTAGCTATGAAAATCCTGGATGGTATCTTCTTCCAGTAGGAGACTGTTTTGTCTACATTGAAAAATCTGTTCTTTACTACAGAAATGATCTTAGCTACATCTTCTGTATAACTTGCAGCAGCTTTTCCATCAGCACCTGGTGCTTCATCTTGTACTTCTATGTTATAGAGACAACTTCTTCCCTTAAACCTCATAAACCAACCTCTACTAGCTTCAAACTTTTCTTCTTGAAGATTCCTCACCTCTCTCAACCTACATAGAATGAAAGAGAGGTAGGGCCTTGCTCTGGATTAGGCTTTGGTTTAAAGGAA